GCATACGTTCCTTATACGTTTGCATTGCACGTATCAGTTCGTTTGTATTATATGCGCCATCTGTAAAAAGATTATAACAGCTGTCAAATCATAATAAAGTACAAACAGACAAACCAATTGATTAACTTGTTGGTATACGTGCATGAATGCGCTATCGTTATTTTTCTCTGACTTAAGTTATCTAACAATCTGGCCTGAGTAGCATCTTGTTTGTAAACCCGTGTTGTGAATAATTACTTATGCCACTAAATGTGGCGTGCAACTGGTATGCAGGAAATATGTTACTACTAATGGTAACGTTGTTCAAATTCTTATGCACGTGGATTTACTTCCTGTTTCTATGACCAGTGTCTTATGTGATATATCAACCTAACTGAGTAACGTATTGCAGCAAATCAAGTAACGTTTGTGACATTTTAATCCTGCCTACAAACTGTGATGCCTCGTGTGACATAATAATATCATTATTATTATTTGGCGAGAACACATTATTATTACAAGTATCGCAATTACTAGTATTACTGTTTAGTAGCAACACGTTGTTCGTAAAGTTAATATTCTATTGAGGAAACAAGAGAATAATTGTGTCAGTGTTCGTTTTCTAGTTAGTGAGTATAGTACGTCACTGCTTGGATCAAAGGGCCTTCAGATACCTAGACGGCCTTAGTTAAAGATCCAGCATTGCGATTCCGGAAGGCCGTCAGAGGTAGGAAAACTCAGAAAATAAACTTGTAAATAAAGGGAGAGGCCGTAGACTAACTCCATATGGTTCAAGAGAGGCTGTAAAGAGTTAGTTAGACAAACCAGTTAGAAAAGCGATAATAATTACGGTTGTTTTCCTACTGGGCTACCCTGATCGTGACTTCGTTAAAGGCGGATTGGAAAACACTTAGGATTTGTGGAGATTACCTCATGACCTTTATTACCCGGCTACTTCAAAAATGTTGTGGAACTAGAGAAACTGAAGATATACTTGGTAAATTACGGGGGTCTGTAACAACCTAGGTTGATTATTTCAGAGTTAACTCCAAACAACCAAGTATATGTCAGAACAACAAAGCTCAAGTATTCGTTCACTTCACTGTTTCGAAGAGGCATAACATCATCTTTTATGCTATATTGAATGTCGAAAAGCTTTGAGTGTCTGAACAGGTCGGCTTCAACTCCATTGTGACTGTACCATGGGCGAAAAAATACGTATTCACGACTTATCTGGCCTCTTCTATCAATAAAACGTGGTTTGCCTTCCTCCACAAAAGGTCTACTAGTTGAAATCTCTAGAGAAATGACTACAATTAATACAGCATTTGGAATGTGTAGGTAGAGATTCCCACCGCTCAGACAGTAAGTCACCCCTGCGATATTTCAGGCTGCATACCAGACTGTTACTGGTCTTTAAGGTGTTGAATCGTATCAAGATCACATGGTAGTCCATGAGTAGAATATCGAATTGCACAATAGATGCATTTTAAAGTTATTTATGCACTTTCATTATAAATATAAATCCGTCTATCCAATTATAAGTTTCAAGTTGATTCTGTCAACTGACTAAGCTGTACTGTATGTGCCTACGATCGTAAGCTTGGTATGGGTCGCTTAGTTCCGTTGATTTGGGCCCACTTACCTGTAAATGTTTCACCTCCCAGATCATGGGTTACTGATCTTTCCTTTAATTCCAGGTTTATTGCTAACTTGACACAAATATTATCTTCAATTTTCTGCTTAGTCTACAGTAGTGATTTTGTCTATGAACAACCAAATGGGGATGGTCTGAGAAACGTTTCCCAGTTCTTAAATAGTGAAACTTTCCTCTTATCTTCACCTGCTAATACATTTGTCTTCACCGCAGACGCATCTCTATCGGAGTCAAATACGGCTCTATAGCAAAATTAGAAACCTGTTTTATTGCCAAACTATCAGGCAAGAGTGAAAAGAAGTATTCCTGTACTCGAGTAGACGATTTAATCGTGGTTTAGTTATAATAGATTATTTGGTATAAAGCTCCATGTTTCTACTGAACGTCAAACTCCAATGTTTATTTAACACCTGAATAAATCACTTAGTCGGCCGTAGTCCGCCAGGATCCAGTGATGAAATTAAGAGTTAATTGTTTGTGCTCTCAACATGTTTCCTCGCTATTTTCTCATTGAAAAACATTACAGAACCTTGTCAATCTAAATGAAGGTTAAGCGAAAAAATTGTTCATGCTAATCATCAGCATGAACAGTTGAACGAACTGAGAAGATCAAAGTCGATTTAACCCCAACACTGACAAATTTTCAGGCCCTTATAACTGACATGAGTTAGGAGTTGCGTGATTATATTATAAATTGCGATCCGGTAACATCCATCTGCTTAATGTTGATATTAATAGTCGGATTCAGAGTTTCTTTTGAGTGCTTGTTTGGCCGACAACTGCGAGATAGTTTATTCATTATACCAGTGAAGTGGGATAATATCTTAATGGAGTTACATTATGATCTTCACTGTGTTCAACGTCCGCTAAAAAGACTGACATGAGAGCCAAAATTACGAACCAGAAAACACGTAGCACTAACGACTAGGATTGGTTTGATGGCAAATGTTAAAACATATGTTCTCCTCCATAATCACATGAACAATGACTAATGTTTTCCATCTTGTAAATATATTTGATAGATACAATCAACTAGCATACATCAACAACCGGCAGGTAAGAATATTAATAAATGGTCTTTCGAAAATTAGAACATTTAATCAAGAGCATGTAACCCGTGAATGCCTTCATGTTCAACAGATAACTGTCGTCTATCTGTCCGAAATTCGCATAATTATCAGTATTTTCACCTATAAAGAGAATTTTTGATTACAGTTCATCTCAAATTTTTGATTACAGTTCATCTCAAATCCGCATCTCAAATGCGGAGATTGCTTGGCTTCATCCTTCGTAATTTCTTTCAAAACGAAACTAAAATCATCCTGTATAAAGCCTACGTAAGACCCATCGTCGAATACTGCTCGTTCTTATTTTCCAACCTACGCCTATCTGATATACTTAAGGTGGAAGGAATACAGCGAGAATTCACTCGCAAAATACTTAAGAACGACCAATTCACTGACTACAAATCCAGATGCCATATATTAGGACTAGAACCCCTCTGGAAAAGAAGGCTTAGGTCTAACTTAATTCTTTATTTCAAACTCCTTAAAAACCTTACTTATTCCACATGTAATATAGCTCTCTACCAAGACTCACATGGATACAACCTTCGAGACAAAGTATCCACAGTCAAAGTTGAAAAACACAAATCAAAAACACGTGAAAACTTCTTCCTTATCAAGTACGCATTGATATGGAACAGTCCGCCTTATGAAGTACGCATGGCAGACAAATTACATACGTTTACAAGACTCATTGATCAAGCCCTCATCTTCATAGATCTGGTGCAAACGAACACATCCACGTACCACACAGACATCATAGGCTCTACATATATAAACTGAATCGCCTTATTTCCCTACTTTGTAGTTGTATTAGATACTTTCCCCTCACTAATTCTTTTCAATTGAAGTAGACAGGCAACTCACTGGACCTAGTAAGCAAAGTTACCTAATTTTAACTCTCAATCTACAAAACATGCTCCATGACGTACAAATTCTGCTTTGTTCTGTTGTCAAAGTACGGCAGATCGATACAGTCAAAACATACTTTTCAAGCAACATAAAGACTGAATTCCAATTCAGGTACAATTTTTTTTTCTTTAACTGTCACTAATCAACATAAATATACAGTTCCAAAAATAATTATAGTGAATTTCGCAACAAACCTCCAATTTTTAGGTTTTCGAGACAAATACCTGAGAAAAACGATGGGACACCGAAAATGTCTTGGTACAAAGGTACAAACAAACAAGTTCAAAATTTGTGTAAAACAATTATATCAAAAACTCATTTGAATTATTGATATTTATAATAACAATTGTTATCCAGCCAGACAACTTTAGTTCCTCCCTCGACATAACGTTTTCTATGTTTTTTTCCAGGAAAATGAAGTGGCTTGAATCCGGATTTATTTGAACAGGTTCCTAGTGCTTATCTAGGTCATTGTAGTGCCGTGCTTCGTTAATAGTTCACCTCTATGACCGTTATAATACCAGTATTAACGGCGCATAATATCAGAAGACAAAGGGAAGAGGCAACTACATTTTTATTTATATAACGTAGGTCGAAAAGCTGTGAGCACATGAGAAAATGTTAGCAAGCGAAACATACATGACACGTAATGGAGTTGGCTGGTAAGCCAACTCACTATGAGCAAGCATTAATCAATATTTATAGTGAGACAACGATGAATGACAGACATATGATGAATAAGATACAAAGTGTGCATACACATACGCACATATCAAAAAGTAGTCAAGGTTAGTAAGCGAATAATTGACAAGATCAAAATATGACTCATAATGGAAAGGCGAATTGGCTTGGCCAGGAGCTAGAATAAAGTATATGGGCTTAACATATAAACTGATACTATAACATCTTGAAAAAACTGTTACATTATTTCATTTTATCTAAAGGAGAATATCTGATCTTAGAGTGTTTTCAGAGACTTTCAGGCGAAAAGTTCCTCATCGTAGAAATAACCCTTTTCTGGTACTTATAGAAATTTCGCAAGGTTAGATCGACACAAAAATAACGGAGTCTATGACCGTCCATATGTTCTTTTATGAATATTAGGTACTGTGCTTCGGTAGCCATGTTGCTGTGTGATAGCTTAAAATTGTTCATAGACTAGAGAGTGACATTATATACACCATTCCTCAAAGCATCTGATGCAGTAACTCTGTCCAACTCGTTCAGATCGAGCGAATGAAGTCCATAAATCCGCTTCTTTCCTGCTAATTAAACAATTCATAAGATTAATTAGTACGCACGAAAGTTTAAACAGTTGGTAAAGAAACTAATTACCTTACACTAGTGCTTCACAAGGATATTGGGTGCTGCAATAAGAAACTGAAAGTAAACACGACCTTGAAAGCATTCAAAATAGTATTCACATCGTGACGTACTCTTCATTGTGTGTTGTTTCTAGAAATGACGGTCATTTATACTTCTACTATGTTGAAATGGTTTTCACTAGAGACTGAAATTTAGGCTGTAACATATTGAATGTGTATTTTTCATTAATATTTAGGTGCATTTCGCTGAAATCGTCCATAATTGACTTGTGTGGTATTGCGTTCTCTGAAATCTTTCGGTTTCTAGAAAGAGGAGTTTAATTAACTGTCGATGTGCGTTTTTGCTAGAGATCAGCTAACTTCATATGCTAAAGTTGTGATCCAAGCAACCACTATAGAGGGAATAAAGGAGGACAAAGAAGAAAAAAGGGGAACATTCTGTTAGAAAACAAGAAATATTAGGAAGACGCTCAAAATAAGGGAAATTGTAGAATTTCCTCTTTTGTCTTTCCATGTCCTGGACGTACTTAAATTGTCAACAAAATGCCCATCGAATGGTCTACTTTTCCACTAAGTACTCGCCAAAATTTTCAATTTGAGTTTGTCTACACACTTGATTTTCTACCTTTCGCCTTACTCTAAATGTCTACTATGTTCGTTATATAGTTTAACCAGCTGTTTTCTTTGACGGATGACAAGGGCTGCGATTATAGTGCACTTAATGATTGTAAGGGAGAAAAAAACACTTGAATTCGTATGCTGCTGTAAAACATGTGCTTCTGAAGTACTCTTCGATGGAGTGCCAAGTAGTGTAAAACAACTCGCAAATTCAAGTGTCATGACGTATAACAATATATAGTGCATAGACATTTTTGGATTATCTTTCATTAGACACGTCACCATGGCAATGTGGAATGTAAATGAATGATCCAGTGGATTTAGTAGATTTACAAATTTGTCCTTCCTGTCTTCTTGCCAAAGACACGCATTCGACGTTCAAAGTTCCTCTTCAGGCAAGAAAGCGAACTGCAAACTTGATAGTATAATATTAAATTTTCGTAGTTCTTCACGCCCATCAAACTTAGACATAGGTTGCACAGTGTTCGCACTCAAGTCTGATGTAACTGATGATATGTTCTGCAGTTAAATATGCGGTTTATCAAATCTTGAGCGTTTACCTCAACTGGACACGTGACTTGCCCGGCCGAAAACGTGCTACCCACGCGCTTCAACTCAAACGTTGGGGGAGGGACGCATCCACATGCGTCGAACTAGTTTATTAACATTTTTAAAAAACATTCATGCTTCGCAATTGGTGAGTTGTATGTCTATCTTCCTGTGAGTAATATCATGATGTGTTTCTTGTTACAGATAATCCTAAGTAATTATTTGCTTAAGTGTAAAGTAGTTTGATATTTTTTAGGTATCTTGACAAGGTTTTAGTGACTTCAACACTTTTTGGATTCTACAGGACTTGAATGAAAGAAGTAATCGTACCGTCAAGACGGCAAACTAGGCTTTATTGGAATATGTTATAGTTACATGAGGCGGTTTTTCATTATGTTGAGTGATAGGATCCTACCATAAATTAAATTTTTCCGAGTTACTCAGAATTTCAAATAAACGGAGTAATATATATGGGATTCTAGGCCAATAAAGTATACTTTAATAAACTACTCTATGTTACTAATTGGTTGATCATATGAACAACTTTCCTCAGGCTTTTTTGCAAAACAAGGGTTTTATTTCTACAAAGCTTTAGTAAATATGTGGAAACCGATCCCCAGATAGATGTTGCACTACGCATAATGTCGCCCCAATACCCAATCTACTTTTTAGAACAATTTTATTCTACAGGTAAATACGGTACTTAATATGAAAGAGATGGCAAGGTAGTTTATTAGTTAGTGAGCAGTAAGTTGAGGATCAGTGAACTCAATGCCTAGACCTTCTGGCTTTTTTTTCAAATCCATCTTTACTTTGGAGCTAAGTAAAATGCGAGTTAAGTATCACAATCGGTTCATGACTCATGAGATACATAATAATTACTGTATTAATAGGAATATTTATATCCCGGGAACTTGATTTTCCGAATATCGTTCTTGACAAAATATTTAGTGATCATATTCACATCAACACAAAATTCAATATTCACTGACGTTTTGAACAGTATTGTTTGGGTTGTATGTATCTTCATACCCCCAAATGCCCTGGTACGGCCGAGAGTGGGGAGTCTGCTCTCCCTCTCGAAATGCTCTCATATGGCCACGCGAATATATAGCCTCTGCCAGGGGAGTCCTACTCACTGCCTTCTCGTGACATTACTGTTGTTTACGAAATTGAGAGGACGAAAAGCGAATGTCCGGCGCTTTAACCGAGTTGGTGAACAAGGAGAGTCCACCTAGGTGAGTTGGAAAACCCTGATTCCAAACCAATGGTGCACATGGGCTCCAGTATCCTGAAGGAACAAATGGCGTATGAACAAACTGTTGGTCACTGGCAACCATGAGACTACATCTCCTTACGACGCTCCACTGCCTTGTGGACTAGACCTTCAGGTCAAATGCTCAGGGTGTAGCCCCTTGTACCAATATTTATGTGTTTAAATAAATAAAATAAAAAAATCTTCATACTAACGCTAGATAATTGGGTTGATACCCAGTTTAGTACATTTCTCATGGTATTGCTCTCAAAAACCAAGCCAATAAATTATCAATGAATGCCAAGCTCTTTTGAAATATCTTTCGAAAAATTAGATTTATATGAAATGTATAAACAACAATCTTTGAACCGAGATATTAGGTCAAAAACCAGTTGTGTTAAACGATGCGCAGTTAGTCAACGCGATTTTTACGATCGTTTGACGATGAGAAATAAGACATGTTTGAATAGAAGATACGTTACGATCGTTAGTCAGTCATGTCTTAGATTCCTCCATTATTGTGCAACTAACTCCCGTATGCTTTTTTAGTGATAGCCTTAAGTGGTACACAGTATCGTAGTTCTTTAACTTCTATGCATTATTCACGGCTTTAAACACCTTGAATAGTACCCTCATGATCACTAAATAGAACAAGGGACTTTTAAATGCTTATTACTGGTAGTCACTTATCTTTTTATGTACGAAGCATTTCACTATTCAAATTCTTTTATTTTGTAATGTTTTTATTGGTACATCTTCTAAAACGATGCATCTGTTTATTTAAAATACACAATGAATAATCGTCTCATTATCACACCTATTAGTGCAGAAAACCAAAGTAAAAATGCTAGAAACGAACTCGAAAACCACAATATCTCCGAGGGATGTAGATTTGCGTATAAATGTGATCAATCCTGTTGATAATGAAAAGGGATCACTTCACACTTATCAGAAGAGATATCTGTCATCCAACAAAGATGTTGACTACCGAACTTACTTGCCACGAGTTCAAATGGATTCTATACGAAAAGATTACTCTCTTGCTGGAAATTCATCATCTATTAAAACTTCGTGTGTTACCGCCTATGATTATAGTCAACCTTTTGTAGACAGAAAATGGTGTTCTTTACAGAATAGTGAGCAGTCATTAAATCTTAAAATTAGTGGTTTTACGCAATCTAGTCTTAACAATTCGCTATCTGGAAGGATGTGGCGGAATGAACAATCAGATTCGTTCAGTCTACCAACAATTAATGTCCCCCGTTTAAATTCTACTGCTCTCCTGCCTACCCCTTCCGCAAAGTCATTCAAGGAGTCCGATAATCCGCCTCATTGTTATGGACATCAAAATTAGATTCGACATCTGCAACCATAATGTATGACAAAGACAGTATTCATGAGCCCATACATATATTATTCTTAATAATTCTAGAATAAATAACAAATTTACACGTCAACTCAGGGTACTCAGTCACAGCAATCTCTCTGATTCCAGTTGAGCACAGTTCGCTCCAATATTTTTATATATACATATCATTTTTGTGGAAATAAAGTACAGGTGATGTTTTTTATTACTCTTTACTCTAAAAAATTCCTTTAACCAAATATTCGTTGCTATCAGCCAAATTATGAATAGCCACAAATATTGTACATTCATCTGAATTCTTATTTAGTTCACTTACTGTTTTCCTTGATATTTTTGTGTGTATACTTTTGAAGTAAGAATCATTATATGTTGGCAATTTGTCTTTTTATGCGTTCGTTAGAATATATCTTTGTTTCAGTATCAAGTCTGTGTTGTTAACAGTTAAGCTGGATTGTTTTTGCCTAAATATAAGGTAGGGAGAAGATATGATTATTTTAATAAATATGCTGCTACCTTGACGTGGTGGTCTGGCTTGCCTATCGTGATGATCCAATCGGGCTATGCTGGCTGGAACAATCGTTCCTCAAGGTCCTACTATGCCAGACAGGTCGATTGAAGAGCGGTAAGACTAAAAGCAGCAATCCCAAGGTCCGAAGGCGAAGTCGTACTGCTGACTGTACAGAGGTGTGAAAGCAGTAAGGTGTTTCCTTCAGACAACCAGCATGACAGCGATGCTGCCTTCCCACAAGGAGGGGTGGGTTAGAAAAGGTCGACCCTAAAAATGCACACCTCGCCTTATCCCACGGATTTCCGTCTCCGGCGGTAAGGACTTTTGAAGAACGGAGCTAACACGTCAAAAATCCCCCACAAAAAGGCCGTGCGTGACCGGCCTCAAGCAGATGTCACTTGGGCACTGCGGTCACGCTCCCAGGTCGTTAAGACCAACACTAATCCAACTTCTTTTTCAGGTCCCTCAAGAAATACCCTTCCACGGTGTGGGCAACCGGGAAGTGATACTAGCCCTCATACCCTTAATTGCACACAAGATCAAGTTGGTCGCTTTCAAATCCTTCCTACACCTAATAACTCTGTTATCTCCACGACTAACCCTTCCCACGTCCTTTTATCACCTCGCACCGCTAGGGCAAACGATTCGAGTACACAGAACGTTATTCCTGGTCTCCTGAAACCACGCTCTAAACTACATATAGGAACTTTTAATGTCCGAACATTGTGCCAAATAGGACAACAGGCTTCCTTAGCTAGGACTCTAGAATCTTACACCATCGATGTGTGCTGCGTCTCCGAAACGCGCATACAAGATCCGAGTAGTGTCATTCATTTGACCTCACCTAATCAAAATAAAGTTTCATCTCGATACACGCTTCGTGTATCTGGAAGCCCTGATGCTGCTTCCCGTGGCCTCGTTGGGGTAGGTATAGCATTAAGTCCTAGGGCAGAACTAGCTCTTTTAGACTGGATCCCAGTAGACAGTCGTCTATGCGCAGTCCGACTAAACGGATCAGTAAGGACTCGGAAAGATAGGGAAACTCGTCGTTGCCTCTTCGTCGTCTCTGCCTACTCTCCCACTGACTGCAGCTCAGACGATATAAAAGATGAGTTTTACAGGAAACTTTCTGACCTTCTCCGAAAAGCTCGGCTTTCTGATGTAGTAATAGTAGCAGGTGACTTTAATGCTCAAGTAGGTCAACTAAATGAAAGGGAAAGACACCTGGGTGGATCTTATGGTGTCGTGGCTAAAAGGACAGATAATGGCGACCGTCTGTTGCAGCTGTGCTCAGATAACCGCCTATTTCTTGCAAATACTAACTTTAAGCATAAGGAAAAACATCTTTTGACATGGCGACCCCCCGAATTCGTCCCAATATTGGATCCAATTAGATCACATTGCTATCAACCAACGATGGAGGGGCTCGATAGTAGACTGTCGCTCATTCTGGAGCACATGTTTAGACTCAGATCATGCTCTAGTGCGAGCACGTATCTGTCTGCGTCTTACTGGACGTAGGAAAGACACTGCAGGGAAACCTCTAAGGGTTCTACTTAATGATAGGCCAGCTAAGAATATATTTCAGAAACAACTAGAAAAACAGTTAGGCAGCCATGTAAGTTATGCCCACCTCGAGGCAGCGTGGAATGACATCCGTAAAGCTGTGGAATCAGCAGTGATATCCGCTAGTAAGGTAAACCATAAGGTTAGGGAGAAACAATGGATCTCGGCAGCATCTACCGCACTGATAGATGCTCGAAAACTCATCCCACCTGGCTCTGAACATAACGAAGAGCGGAGTCAACTTAAGCGCAGGCTAATAAGAAGCCTACGTAATGATCGTGAACAGTGGTGGGTAGCGAAAGCAAGAGAGATGGAAAAGGCAGCGGCAATAGGTAACAGTAGGCAGCCATTCAGACTCGTTAAAGAAACCGGTATTAGGAACCCAAGTATCAGTGAAACCATCTCAGATAAAGATGGGCATATCATTCATTCTCAATCCAGGAGATTGGTTCGATGGGCAGAACACTTAAGGGATCAGTTCAACTGGCCTTCAGCCACACTTCAATTACCCACGATCCCCAGTCGTCCTGAATGGCAAATTGGTGTAAGTCCTCCAACCGTCTACGAGGTTGAAAAAGCTATAGGAAATCTAAAGCGAGGGTGAGCCGCAGGCCCTGACAGGTTGACCCCTGAGATTTTTAAGGATGGTGGTCCAGTACTAGCAGTAAGATTGACTGAGGTCTTAGGTAGAATCTGGGAACTGGACGTAATTCCATCTGACTGGTCCCAATCACTGATTGTGCCAGTCTATAAGAAAGGACAAAAGTCCTCCTGTGACAATCACAGAGGGATCAGTTTGACTAATATAGTGTCTAAAATATTAGCTTCAATAATACTAGGTCGCCTAACCAGAGCTCGTGAAGTGCAGACTAGAGAAAACCAGGCTGGTTTTCGACCAGGACGTGGTTGCATAGACCAGATATTCACCCTACGTCAGGTCCTAGAACATAGACATACATTCAGACGTCCCACAATAGTAGTATTTCTTCACCTTAAGGCGGCATTTGACTCCGTTGATCGTGAGGTTCTGTGGCAGTGTTTGTCAGTGAAAGGAGTACCAAAAAAGTACATTAACCTCATAAAGGCTCTCTACTCGAACACAACTGGTAGAGTTAGAGCCTATGGCGAACTGTCATCAGAATTAGTTACCTGAAGTGGTGTTCGTCAGGACTGTCCACTCTTTCCATTCTTGTTTAACTTTGTCGTTGACATGCTTTTAGAGGTATCACTTTCATCATCTCAATCTCCTGGAGTTGAACTTTTACCAGGAGATTCACTTGTTGACTTAGAATACGCCGACGACATAGTCTTACTTGGTGAGGATGCTGGCAGCATGCAGAGTCTTCTGACCACTATAAGCAACTATGCAGGCATGTTCGGGATGCGATTCTCTCCCTCGAAGTGCAAAATGTTACTTCAGGATTGGGTTGCATCGACACCTGTACTAATGATAGGGAGTGAAGTAGTTGAGCGTGTTGACAGCTTCACTTATCTTGGGAGTTTCATCAGTCCTTGTGGTCTAGTGTGTGAGGAAATCTCAGCACGGATACAGAAGGCATGTCTAGCTTTCGCCAACTTGCGTCATTTATGGCGTAGGCGAGATATCCGTCTAGCAACCAAAGGACGTGTTTACTGTGCAGCACTTCGCTCCGTCCTACTTTATGGTAGTGAAACATGGCCGATAAGAGTAGAGGATATTCGTAGGCTACTAGTTTTTGATCACAGGTTTCTTCGAAGCATTGCTCGTATATCCTGGGACCACCGGGTAAGTAATGCAGTTGTTAGGAAACGGGTACTAGGTAAGGATGGCAAATCGATTGATGAAGTAGTGAAACTTCATCGGTTGAGGTGGATGGAACATGTGTTACGTATGCCCAACCACCGACTGCCCCAACGTGCAATGTTTCATGGTGTAGGAATAGGTTGGAAGAAAGCTAGGGGCGGCCAGACCAAACGTGGCACAAAACAATGAAGTCACTGACAATTGGACTGAGCCATGTTGGTAGGTGTAGACTACCTGGTTGGTATTCGCGAGATGATAGCTACCGATGGTTAGAGACCTTGAATGACATGGCTCAAAATCGTTTGCAATGTCGAAGGTGTATCCACTCATTGTGTTCTACCAACTTCTAATCTTCTGAATTCCTCAAGTCTCTATCTTTTTCTCTTTCCAAATTTATTTCACTGTACTATACTCCTTCAATAATTTCTTCAAACCCTAATCTTTTGGATTTCTGATTATACTCCTACTACTTCTACCACTATGGGATTTGAATCGACAACTGCATCTCTGTGCTAATGTGGTATGGCAACTCGAACTGATGTACGTACGTACGAAGTTCTACGTTGTAACTGACTGACTACATGCAACTTATTATTGCATTCGTTAATATTATTTTCAATTGTTTGATCATGCGTATGTTGAGAGCAACGTTGTTAATTTTAAGATTTTCTCATCCTTACTGTTTAGGAGAAATCAAATTATCCATCTTGCATACTAAGATATTCAAACTAATAATTTATTCCGTGATCCGTAGTTTGAGAACGTTACTAGTATCAGTTATTAGCCTGTGGTCCTATCGAACAATTGATGAGTAGTGGTAACTGAGACAGCATAATATGTATAGGTATTTCTTCGTGTTTGCCAAAAGCAATCACTTTTTTAACTACAGTTTTTTGCAAAACCTTTAAGAAATCCCCACTCATATTGACTCGTTCACATCATTGTAACAATTGTTTAACGTAGTTGCTGAGTAATCTTCTGTCAATAAAGTAGTTGTAACTGAATCATAAGGTTCTCATGTTACTGAATATTGAAAACCATACTGTAATGATCACAGTAGTGGGTTTGTGGATCAGTGGTAAACGCGTTCGACTTTCAGTCACTAGGTTTCAGGGTCGAGTCCCCTTTCTATTTGGACAACCGGACAATATCACTAGTTAAAGCTGAATACACGAATCTGAATCTGGTAAATTAGTTAATTAACGAGAGGTTACTATTATTATTATTATCCTTGCTAATCCATCTGTCTATTTTTACATTTATAGCTGGGTCTGTCAGATATAAGTCTTATTATTGTACAGGTCTGTACAGAATTATCTAGGCATCTAAACACAACAATAAAATTTTTCTACAGATTCCACATATTATACAATTATTGTTCGTTCAACCGTATATCTGGTGCCCCCCTGTACCAATGTTTATGTGTTAAAATAAATAAATATTTAAAAAAGATTTAAGAAACCCTGAACATTTAGCAATAATAATAAGTACACGCTGATTAAACCTAGTGTTTTGCAAATAAAACGTTCCTTAATGGAAAGTATCAACCAGAAGAGCATATTATTAACGCCAACATTGAGGTCAGGTCTTCGTTTGGTTTTGACCGATGGGCTGAAACGATGATGAAAACATGCCATGCTGAGAATTTACCGTGTATTTTCTAATGACTGACGTTGTGTTAAAAAAATATTCCCAGGTATTGAAAATTGCGACATTTCTGTAGATTGATTATAATAACAGACAGATAACATATATCCATCCAACTTCATGGCTTTCCAAATTTCAAGGCCAGGATATATATATATATATATATAATGGTTTCAGCCAGGTGATCAAAGACAACCAGAAACTTGACCCAAATGTATGTCAGCCCAAGTTCTCACTTTGGCACAGTAAGAGAAAGAATGCACAGAATGTGAAATATAGTAGGAAGAATAACGATTTATATACGGAGTACGAATATGTATATACTCCATTTCACGTTCTGATTATTCATTTGGTAATGATACTAGTATTTGGCTGCTTGAACTGGATTTAGTGGAACGGAGTAGTTGAAGGTCGCTTGTTTTGACCTTCAGACCATTGCGCTACACAATCGTCAAATTCGTAACTTAATATTTTCTTGTAATCTTGTGGGTTTGTTTTAAGTAAAGTTACGTCGTCGACATTTCGTAAAATTGTTGATAAGTCTTTGAACCATCGTTGTGCAAACAATTACGGTATCTTTTGGATAACGAAATGAAACTATAAAACTTGTCCGATTTCATTTCATAAAATAGATAGTTTCGACATTGACATCTCGTTATTTGTAGGTCATATTCGTCACAGATTGATCTCAGGGTACGATTAAAAACCATGAAGGACTGGAAATCCTGAGTTTGATCTCTGCAACGGTGGTGGGTACTCACTGATGAGGAGTTTTATACTGTGACTAAACAGCTTTCCAGTGCTCCTTAGTTTTCAACAGTACCTTATATCATTCCCTGATAAAATAAATCAGTCTCTTCAAGTTCCCTTCCACTTCCTTTGTTTGTTAGTCATTATAATTGTTATTAATTATAAAGGTTGTATAGGTAGTCTAGTAAATATTATCTTTTTCTTGACCTTTTTTATTAGGCTAGCAATTCCTTTTCTGTGCACTCAAGTGAAAATGCCATACCGAACCTAACTAACAGCCGATCAGCTTCAAAGAGTAGACGGACAAGATCATTGCTGAAATACTGGAATAGTGTGTGGCAGTTTTTTAGTTCTATGTATATTTTTTAAATAAGTAACGTAACTCATTTATAACGTACCGACTTATTCACTGGAATTCGAATCACACATTCGGATGAACTATCCATAATGTTTTTAGTGAAGTTGTTAAATCCTCACTTAATAGATGGGAAATACACACCATCACATAATGATGTAAATCTGCACTATGCGCTAGTAGTTACTATGTCACATATATAGACAAACATTTTTACAAAAGCTAACCAACTTTATGGATAATAGGAATGGATACTTGTGTTTTGTCATTGGAACATCGTTAACATTCTAGATTTAGAAATTTTCATTCTGATTAATTCCCTTTTACGTAAATTGTCATTCACAGGCCTGTTGATCTACATTCGTCTTACTTATTTTTAACTTCATATTTACCAAACGCATTTATAAACGTAGTTATGTCGCTTCTTGATAAGCCCAGATTAATTGGAGCCGGTATCGTTAGATGTTAAGTGCGGCAGTTATCGCATTTTATTGTTGGATTAGTAAAAAAATACAGACAATTCTACTACTATTCATATATGAACAAACCTATAATGATTCAAAAAATTAAATAATCAACGTCTCTAGTGGGTAACTAACTACCTCACACCCGATATTGTTTAGTTCCACTAGTCACGGCTTCTTACCAAAACTCAGGGGATTTCCCCTCGAAGCTAGTCACTAGTGAGTGAGCACATGATAATTGTCAGTATAGGGTTGTGGAAATTGTTGAGTTTCATTGAAATTATGAACCTATCATTGTTGGGTCACTATTGAAAACCTGGAACTATTAGACGGCTGTTTCATCCTAGTACGTACGTACGAAGTTCTACGTTGTGACCGACTGACTCATCCTAGTATGGAACTCCTCATGAATGAGAATCCTCGGGCGGGAATCAAACTCAGGACCTTCGGCATCACACGCCTCTAAACTACTGGGCAGTCATCCGATGATATTGTTATCTAGCTTCAATCAATCTACCACACGGCGCAACTATTTTCCATTGCTTTTGCTGGGAAACTGCCTCACACCCGCCAATATACAGTGACATTGCGGTAGTGAAAAATCGTGTACATATATACAGAGATGATAATGGACTTTACAAGAGTTTTTATTTTCATGATATTTACATGACCATGAAAAAGATCAACTTTCAGGCACATTAGTGAATCATGTAAACTGATTTATAGTTGATTTCAATATTCAGTTGATTAATAAACGTAGCAATTTGAAGCGATGATAAGTTTAGTGTTTCCAAAATGATCTTCCAAACAAGCCCCCATCAGTTGTATTGAATATTATATTATTTATACTTTATTGCCTTCTCACTTCATATTTAGTTGATTATTTTTATTCGCCTTAATAATAAATAAGGTTTCGATCCTGCACAAATTCATTATGGTGTACATCGTTTCCATTCACGTAGACAACAGCAACGTATCTTCAGTCCTATGGCTAGTTTATGGAAAGCTATGCAAAATCAAAGTCAAATAATGGTTATGACTCGTGGTTTAAAGGAGCCTCGTGCTTCAATTATTGGCAATTTAGTTGCTTTCGATCGTTATTGGAATTTAGTAAGTGACAATTAATAATAAAAAAAACCTTGTACAGTTTATCTGTTCTGCATAAATTTGTGTTATAATTGGCTTATATATCGAAACAATCCACACTGGATAAACATATATACACCAAATAAGACTGATCAAATTTCATTTTATGTCATCAATAACAGAATATATTCCAAATTCAATTAATTTACAGTTTATCAGAAGGGGGTTTTGTGGAGATTTTCTTAATTTTATATAGTTGAGATAATGAGTCAATTGAAGCTAGACTACCATGGAAAACCTGGAAGTACTGGACGGCCGTTTTGTCCTATTGTGGGACTCCTCAGCCGTGCGCATCCACTATCCCGCCTCGCGAGACCGATAGGTCCTAGGTTCGAGTCCCGCAAGCTCGACCGTGAATGCACACTGCTTGGAAAGAGATACTACAAACTTATTCACATTAATTTAATTACCAATACATGCCAGTAAAACTTAAATAAATAAATAAATGTACTAGGCATAGTTTTAATGTGATTTTAATCTCATTCACATCTTCGTTTGCTATTAATACTTTGTTAAGTAGTTAAAAGTAGTCGACAAGAAACTCGAAACTTAGGTTTTGTGTTTGTTAGGATTAATCAGCAAAAGGTACCTGGAACCATAAGGAAACGGACATATATGAACCACCAATGAACTGTATAGTAGCTGAGCAAAACACAATCAAAGCATCTAGCTCAGAGAACGAAAATTCACTTGACCTACAAATCAGCATCATTAAAAGTTTAGATCAGCATGACATTTTGCACTACTTAAGGACCGATCAGTTATGTTTTTATTAATTATATTAATTAACCGTGCATCATCGATATTCTTATTTTTCATTCTTTTCTAAATATCTTTAGATTCTAAAGAATGTGACTGAGTATTCTGTTCATCTTCCGAAATCAGCTTTAAAAGGTGTAGGTTTTGTTTGTTCCTAGAAATCATTTTGATTTTTACATTTATTTGATCACTTTCGCATATCTATATTCATAGTTTTAGGCAATAATTTAATTCCCTTAGTTTGAATACAAGAGAACAGTTTAGAAAATTCTGTTGATCAATATACTTAATTGAATCACATGTATTTACATGAATACAGTTCTAATTGCTAGACAAAAATATAAGCACTGGTAGTATTCAATTTGTTATTAAGATCCAAATGTATAATGCTTGAAATATCAAATGTTTAACTGTGATTTTGAACATGAAATTCTGGTTGATGTAAATCGGTATCCAAACTAATCAGTCATATTACTCAGTAATATGATGAGCCAATCAGAAGTAGTCTAATGAGAAGGTCAATTGATGGCAATCAGAAGTGATCTTAAGGACAAGAGCATTTCATTGGCTATGAAGTGGGTCAATTTACTAAGGATTACAGTGGTATATATATGAATGAGTATTTGTGCATTTTATCCAGTAGTTCAATGCACTTTCTCACTCGCTGTTGTGTTTTTGCTCAAGTAGTCAGTTGGGGTAGGGTAGCGCATAGCACACAGTATACCAGTATCAGATTTTGGACATCGTCCATCACAACACTCAGAAATATATTTTATCAGTTAATGAAATTTCTTTATTAACAAACATTGCTTGATGCCATTCAGTGATAGTTAATGTAGAATCTCTCTAATATATATATATATATATATATATATATATATATATATATATATATCAGTTTTCATCCTACATCAACACAGTGAGATGAAATCATCAAGTTGAATCCCAGACTATTCGAAATAGTAGTACTATCCGGTATAGTAGAAAAGATTCGGTATAGATATTGTGACTCATGAAGAAAGAATAAATCAGCTTTGCAAAATGTAAGAAATACTAAGGGAAGATTCACTGAATACATCTACTCTTTTATTACCGATTCTAATGTATATTACTCAAAATATGAAGGATTTCACTGATTATTTCAACGTATACAAATTTCTTCCATATAATATCAACTGTTTAACTTAATATCATGGATTTTGTATTAAAATTATGGTTTAAATCACACTTATATCTTAGATATTTCAAATAATTATCACCTTAATAATCTCCTATAGAGTTTAGAGTGTCAACTTTAAGTATTTCTCCTTTAATTCTACTTCAAAATCACTGAGGAAGGGTACATACGTAAACATTGTTCTATTTACTTTATTTTGGACAACTAAGTAATATACATGAACTTCACACTTTAAGCATAAACCTAAATAAATAAATCTCTAGTCGATTAATCAAACTGAAATAATCCCTAGACTTGAACAATAGCTAGAATATAAAACCTAGTTAAAATATTATCTAAGGTGTTCTTATTTATTTAACAATAAATTAATCACAGTAAATAAGGAGATTGAAAGTAGGTATCAAATTCAAATCAAAATAGTTTGAAGATGAAATATGACCATACCAATGAATTACTGACAAAAGAGTTTCATAATAGACTAAAATAGATGTTTACAGTGACTCTCTCCTATAAAAGTAGGTAGAAACATGACTAGCGAGTCATAGCATAAATTCATGAAGTTACTAATTATTGAGTCTTGACATATTGGTAGGTGAATACTTCTTGTGTACGTTTCATATGGTTGGAAACCTTCAATCACTTGTCTTATAATCTTATAATGTAATATTACACTATACATTTCATTTCCCAACGTTATTTGATTTTTTTAATATGTGTCAGTCAGCTACAACGTAGGACCAGGCACATATATGCATCGGTCCAAGTTGCCATACCGCATTAGCACAACAAAATGAACACTAAATTCATAGAAGTATTTAATTTAGTGGTGGTAGTATATAAAAGATAGGTTGTATATAAGGATATAGTATAGGAAGGAAAAAAGTTATGAAATAATTTTAATCTCAAGGTTTAAGGGAAGATAAAGGGTGTATACACCTACGCCATTGTGATCGATTCTGAGCCATGTCACCTAAAATCTCCAACCATTGGTTATGATAGTCACGCGGACCCCAAACAGGTAGTCTGCATCTACCAACATGGCTCAGACTAGAAGTTAGTGACTTCAAGCACTGATGCCATGTTTTGGTTTGGCCGCCCCTAACTTTCTTCCAACCATCCCCAACACTAGTCAGTGTTGCGCGTCGTGGTAATCGGTGTTCAGACATACGTAACACGTGGCCTAACCAATTCAATCGATGAAGATTCATGACCTCATCAACTGATTTACCATCATTCCCTAATACCTTGAGTCTAACCTCACTATAACTTACCCGGTGTGTGTGCTGTTAATTTAAACTATTATCATTGGGACTCTGTTAATTTCTATCTTGTCAATAGACTTTCTCAGAGTACAGATACAAATATGAAAAAACTAGTCTATGAATATTTGTACTAGGTTCTATTGTTTTTCCTTACTATTTTACGAAATTGTTTTTGTAATTTACCAAATGCATATTCGTGCATTTGGTTTAAAATTATACTATTAATGTGCCATCTAGTAATACTAACCGGTTGCCCAAACTAAAGAGGCAGAATGACGTTAAAACTTTGAATCTAGTGATTAAAAATCAAACACATTTTAACCATTAAAGTACCGTCCCACTCACCAACTTGTTGCAAATGGTTTTTTTGTGTTAATTGTTAATATGCTACAACCATACTTCAATAATAACAACAATGCGCACATATTTTTGATTAATTTAATGACATTAATTTTATTCTGTCATAGAAATACATCTTAAATTGTTATAACGCTCTTCTACACGAATGGGACGCTAATTTGCCTTTGACGAATATCTACACTAGGTTCCCTCCCTGTGTCTATTCTACAGGACTTCGACACAACTCAGATCAAGAACACATGATTAACCTGACTAGAATGTAAATATATTTCCACACCAAAAACCGACAACAATCCTACACAATCACAATAATAATAAGGATAGGAGAATATATAGCTCATCTAGTACCTGTCAAACTATATTACAAGTCTGACTAAGCAAACAACCAATCATTCTTGCCCACACATCCTAAATATTCTTCTCAATTTGTTCTTGTAGAATGGAAAACCGGGACGAAGTAAAAAACGACGGGAACAACGTTTACGAAAGTTTCAACGAAATAATAACGCTTTATTTCAGTTAAAACAATGTTCAAATTTATGCCAATCATCATTCAATCAAACTGATGATCAGCTGAAGGATAGTAAATACATATTTTTGTAATATTTATGTTAAATGATTAAATTATATCATTTCCATCAGGTTATGTTTAATATGTATAGTTTCTTGTTAATTTAAAATTTAAAATAATAGGACGAAACGGCCGTCCAGTGCTTCCAGGTTTTCCATGGTAGTCTAGCTTCAATTGACTCATGGTTTCAATTATGAAAATACTGAAATATCCACAAAAACTCCTTCTGATCTATAATGATATGCTCACTAGTGACTGACTGTAAGGAATGTTTCCTTGAGTTCTAGTGGTAGGCAGTGGAGTTCAACCAAGTCTGTTGTGGAGATATCAACTCACTGAAGACAATTGGTGAACGGTTGCTCAAAACATCGTGAATCGGTTGAAGTTAGACATTAACACCGTTGGATGCCGGCTCAGTGGTCTAGAGGTTAAGTGCTCGCGCGCGAGACTTATAGGTCCTGAGTTCGAATCTCGCGAGGAGGGATTGTGAATGCGCACTGCTGAGGAGTCCCTATATGGGACGAAACGGCTGTCCAGTGCTTTCATAGTGGTCTAGCTTCAATTGACTCATGATTTCAACTATTGAAAATAATATACTACTTATGTTATCAATCGTTCTGTTACAAATTATATATTATAACATTTTTATTCCACCAACTTTGATATGTATCTTTATTTTCACTCCTTATAAATATTTGTAACTATCCCGTTTTATTAGATAAACCATTAGAAATCGGACAGTTATTTCCTGATCAGTTTGACAATCATGATCAAGATGGGATTGTGGAAAAAGGAGTATATGATGATGAAATTAATAGTCTGAGACCTTTTCATCTACTCGGTAAATCCCCTCTATCTGATACAAATGATCATGATGATCAATCTATCAAAAAATGTGATAAGATTGATAAAAGTGTTTCAGTGAATATTCATAATCATTTAGACGAGAATAATAATAATAATAATTGTCATTATTATAAATCGTCAAATTGGGCATCATCTATGGTTAATTTGAATGAACGAAATATGTCTGAACTGTCTGATATGTGAGTTTTATATCATGTGGTTGTTGTTGTTGTTGTTTTTCCCTTCACATTTTGCGTTTTATAGCAAAGTGTTCAGCTTAATCGTACTGAATAGTTTCGATTGATAATGTTTTCGTGCTCAGGAATTATACTAGTAAAGTAAATATATGAGCTTATCTTAAGAAATATTTTGATGGATGATTGAGTTTCCATTAAAATATATTACGTATTTGATGCACTTGATAGTTACCGATGTTAGTACAGGCTGTCTACATTCCACTGCTAGCCATAATCCTTTTTTTGGTACTGCTTGTGCTAAAAGTAGTTGTATTCGCATAATCTGTACAGTGTACACATATGCTAATAGACGCTAGTCAAAGTTCAGTTCTGAACTTCACTGTTTTTATTAATAATATAAACGTCATATCCATTGAACAACGTATAGTGGTAAATAAATCCCCCAAATAAATAGTTATATGAGTTTTCGATATTGATACTTGACCTCATTAATCTTACTGGACGCACTTAGCTAAAGACTCTCAGTCACGCATCTGTACTAGATCATGACTGGGTACGCCGTGGTACTTATTCTTTGCAACTGCTAGCCAGCCTAGACTAAACGCTTCTCGATATATCGATAGCCTTCAAAGTATATTTTCGAACCTCTCCATTTCCGACTTCTGATTTGACTTGATTGGTATACTTCAATTATAAAGGTGTTACATATAAAAGCATTGTCAAACTCTGAATGCCTATGGAATCTTTAACGATAATGGTGATGTTAATTGCAATAGATAACGCTTTCAGAGTTTGAAATAAAATGTACTCACTTCAACCCTCGATATGAACGTTAGCACCGATGATTTCGAAATGGGATGAAACATGCATCATAAATTCTATTGCTAGAAACAATTTACTTATTCATTTCTAATTGTATTTCCTAAGTTTTATTCATTTTTATCTAAGTCATATGGGGTATTATGACTAGTTTTCAAATGTTATTATTTATTAATGTCACTGGTACTGTGGCTAAACGCTTAAAAATTCAGAACTTATCATGTTTCATCTTGTTTGGTAACCAGTAAGCCGGGATGTAACCTACGTTGAGTCTCAAATATGTTACTTAATACTTAAAATACCAATGCCTTATGCATTAAGCTTTTCATTTTACCAATTTTATTTCCCATTATAATCATAATATCATCAAGTGTGACAACTTAATCGGATATATATTTGTATTAAAGTCACCCTGAAATTACTTTCAAGCTGAGATATATGCCGTTTATGTTAGTTCATTCAAACACAACGCCTCTAATAAAGTTGTTAATTTGAAATCATTTTAGATAAGGAAATGACTTCAAACAGTTAAAAAAAATTTAAAACCGTTAGTCAGTTTTGGGAAAATAAGTTGGTCACTTACATATAACTTATCTTTTCACTGTCTCTGATCAAAATATAATTTCTAACAGCTTTTTTTCAACTGGTTAAGTTCATACAAGTTACAAGTGGGACAGTTATCACTTATAAGTAGTAATAAATGATCGTTACATTATATCGTGAATCAATTGAAGATAAAAATCATACTATTGGATACTGGTTTAGAGATCCTCGTAATCAATTATTCACTGTATAACCTAAAGTTTCTAGGTTTGATTACTGATCAAATTGTATATGCATTTTTTTAAAAAAATCCCGTACTAATACATAACAATTGTGTAATGTTTGTTTTTCGTTGTACTTTTCATTGATACCCTTCAATAAGATGATTAGTCTATCATGAATACTGTTATAATTGTTTTGCTAATAAACCATCTAGCTACTCCTATTGCTTAGTATTCTTACACAATGACACTTGACAAGACCCCAAAAATCAGAACAGGTTGAACAGGGACGAAATTGTATTCAAAATAACAAGGATAGGTGAACAGCAATCAATGGTTAGAAAAATGTTCATATATTTATAGTATGTGCATAAGAAGCTTCTAGATGCTTCTCTAATAATCTACCAGAGCTGATTGGTTTAGAATTAGCCAATCAGCGTGCGCCGTCACGATCATGCACATATCGGGCATTAAATTAAATTCATTTAGTATTGTTTGTTTGAATCTTCCCCTCAATGTGTTAGGACTGCAACTTGTCAGTCTCTAATTGGTATATGTGCATACTGTCCGTATTGCCTCGATATAGCCTTAATTCATAAGCATGGTAAGCAAAGATGGATAGCGGTTAGCAGTGAAATCCAGGACGCGCATTTCGTCCTCTTTGGGACTCGTCAGTTGTATGTACCTGCATCTTTAAATTAAGTACTATTTTTCTTTTCTTATCAATCTTTTTTTTATTATTCTTTATTTTATTTTAGTTCACTTTGGTATAATTTACAAACTCACCAAAAACATTCTTTCATTGAGAAACAAAATAATCAACAAAATGAAATAATTTCCATTGATGATCATCATTATGACAATGATGATGATGATGATGACAGGAACGAACAACAATTATTTATCCGTGGTGCTAATATTATTTTAATACGAATTATTTCAGAGAAACAATTAGAAAATTGAACAAACAAAATTCTCCATCGGTTTATTTTCTCACTTCTCCATTCATTTTCTTTTATCCAATTTGTAATTTTGAATAAATGAATAAATCAGAAGGGGTTTTTGTGGAGATTTAGTATTTGCATAGTTCAAAGCATTAGTCAATTGAAGCTAGACCACCAAGGAAAACCTGAAAGCACTGGACAGATGCGCACTGCTGAGGAGTCCTACAATAGGACGAAATGGCCGTCTAGTGCTCCCAGGTTTTCCTTGATGGTCTAGATTCAATTAACTCATGCTTCCAATTATGCAAATGAATAAACTCAAAATTTCATATATATATATGTGTACATGTATGCCAAGAAATAAGTATACTGTTTATCCTTATCTTCCTTACTTTTACTCCATAATAAGACGGACATTGTATGGTTTACAACAAGGGAAATATTCATAATTTTAAATTTTGAGAAGGTCAAATACCTAAGGCATATATATATTAAAAAGGAATTTTTATGTTCAAAAATATTCAATAGTTGCTCAACCTATATTTGTTTTTCCCAATATGGATGTCAAGAGGATGTAGGTTTTATTACTTGATATACGGAATAAGAAGTACATTAGATCTTGATTTAAACACACAAGTCTTTCACCATTCTCCATAGAATAATAGAATATATAGTCTCTATACAAAGTAAGGAAGTAAATAAATAGGTTAACTTTGAAGTTTTACTGCTGATGGATTATTGGCTAGCTCCTAAGCGTCCAATTTAGACTATTACAGAGGACCACAAAAGGTTGGGACCTAATTTTCCTTGTTTGTTTCGCAAAGAGGTTAAAAATTTCTCAATACTAGAGCACCAAAGTTTAAAACTGAACAGGAACACCGTGGACCGGGTCTGTCGACTTATTTGTAAAGTATAACTCCAACAAGTAAAAGTATTTGTTTTGAAAGTAGAATAACACTGATTCTCAGTAACATGGTCGTTCAAGCTGCATGTACAATAATATAGATTTGTAAAATTTCGGCCCTAATATATATGCATATGGTTATTTACAGAACTAGATTATTGAATATAATAAAGCTCGGCAGACTTGGCATGATATGGCTGCCCATATATGATCATGAGCCAAGATCAAATCTCTTTATACTGTAATTGTTACGTCTTGTAAGTTGAACGCTATATTCAGATCCTAAGCTATTCTGATAACCCCAGGCTATAACTACTCAGCGACTTGAACACCAGGGAGAAGACTCGAGTATGATAGAAATACTTTACTACAAGGTTCATTCTTGTACAGAAAATACAGGGATTTTATAGTAATTAAGAGACCTTGAGTTTACATAGCAACAGTGTGTTGATCAGCCAATCAGGATCTCGTTATTTTAGTAACATAGCTTCTGACTAATCGCTGATTGGTTAGGGCTGTTTATGAGACTCTGGAGGCTATGTTAGAGTTCTCTGTAAGCCGACTCAACAGTAAGTTTCGCATCATGACATACAAAGGCATAGTTTTATGACCTATAAATGATAAATACAAACTTCACAGCAGAATGGTATATCTAACGTAATGATTCAAGATCTGGAGTCACCACGCTTGGACAACCCAGCCCTATTGTTTCTACTACATGTCTCAGTTGACTATGAATGACCCTCACTGTCCAGTACAACACTTCTTTGTTAACATATTTTTATCGAGGATGGTACGTCTAAAATTCAGTGTTAGTCGGTTGTCACAACGTCACTCTATTACTTGAATCTGTAGTGTAGTGCTTCGTTAATCGATCATTTCGATAACCGTTATTATATCAATCTGAACGGTGTATAATATCAGGAGACAAAGGGAAGTGGCAACTACATATTTATTGACAAATAACATAGGCTAGAAGGCAGTAAGCACATGAGTAGCGAGCGAAGAAATAGTAACATACATGGCAGATGGCTGGTAAGCCAACTCGTTATAAGCAAGCATTAATCAACATTTATAGTCAGACTAAAATGAATGACAGACATGTGATAGGTAGGATAAGAAGTGTGCATACACATACGCTCATATAAAAAAAATAGTCAAGGTCAATAAGGGAATAGTTAGCAAGATCAAAATATGACTCATAATGTTGTAGGCGAATTGGCTTGTCCAGAAACTAGAATAAGCTATGTAGGTGTAATATAGTACACGACGTTACACTACTCCCCACAAATCAACGCTTGGTTGATTAGATCCACTACTCACCTGAAGTCATCAATAAATCTATAAGAATCCCCTAAGAATTGATTAACTGCAAGGAAAATAAAGGAGTATTAAGTAAATGATCGAGTTATAACTTGTATTAGCTTCAAAAACTTTGGATCCACTCTCGATAGGGGTAAACATAACTCACACACGTACTATTAATAGTAAACATATGGCGTAATGTGAATATTTTAACACGCTAAAATGAAATCCGTAGTACACACAGGTGACTAACGATTCAAAGTATGAATAGAGCAAATGTTTTGTACCTAGATGAATAATAATCAGGTAAGAAAGTCGTCAGTGTTAGAAATGTTAGTAATAGAACTACTTCAGCTCAAAGAAGTTCAATTGTGATCCTGATGTTAAATTGTCAACAACTTGTTTAATTGTGTGTTCAGAAACTGACCTAGTCCTGCTAGACATAGAAGCTTAGATTCTGGTGCTAATTTCTCGGTGGATGGATAAAAATAATTGTCATTCTTCATTTCTTACAGAAATACCTTAGCACTACCCTATAAAGACCCTTAGTAATACTATGTTAAGCGCACACATGGAGTTGACTTGGAAATCCCAATATTCTTGCACCTCCTCATTTCAAGGCTGAACGGAAAAGTGGATGACAGTGTCGATCTTAGTAATACAGTTGCTATAGACTATTCTATTTACTGCGCTAGATTGATTCCAGATTTACTTTTTTGACTATCCTCCTATCTTTCTATCTGTCAGTCATATATCATAGTGGTATTGATATTTAAATACTTAAAACACACCGAGCAACTAATATACCGAAGAGTGTGGACTCATGTAAATACAGTGCAGTCTAAAAGTATCTAATTAAGTTCTGAATTTATCCCATTACAATACAGTTGCCAAAAAATTTAATCCCAGTTCTATTTCTCTTCTAATACAGTTGGTAGTTTTCCTGGCGGCAGTATCATTATAAGTCCAGTCTGACTGCAGTTTTATTGACGTCCGGTATAATTTATAATACTACTATTACTTCATTCCACTTGCATCCACCCGGTCTCATCACAATTAAATTATGTTTGTCATTACTGTACACGTCAGTCGGTCAAATTAGTTATTTATACATCTAGAGGCATTTTCATTCTAGATCTTGTTTGGTACATTAGTCACTGGCCATTGAGTTAACAAACACCAATAGAGTAGGTACGCAACATAATATTTACATCGGTCACAATAACTAAAACATTCTTCCTGAACTCAACAATCGATCCCTTGAAGTAACCCATAAAATGTTCATCAAACCGGTAAAGTCACAATTTTTCTCTGTAGAGGTCGGCCCGATTCGAAGCACTCTGCCGGTTATTGTGACCTCATTCACCTCAACAGACTACTCTAAAAGTAGAGTTAACTATCACAGACTATGGTTCACGATCTTTTGCTTGTAATAGCTGTACATGATGCATGTCTCGCAAAATGCCCATCATTATCAGTTTCATTATGCCCATAACTAATTGTTATTATTTTCATTACTATAGATGTCTGTTTCACCATTTATCGTTTCCATTTGTCTGTTATCTTTAAGTTTTCATTTATCCATGTTGTCTACGTTTTAATTTCTTCTGATCATTTTATTCTCTTAGCTCCCCTGGATAACAGTCTATAATTTCCAATCTCCAAGTAATTCATATCTAGACATGATAGTGTGAAAGCCCATTGTTCCAGAAAGCCTACTCACCTCAGGGAAATACATTCACTCAAGCTCATGGCATACAAACACACGGATGATTGTTGAATTCAGTGGGACTAATATGGTTATGTGGCTAGTGAAGCGTTGTTGGAAGCAGCCGGAGGTCTGTAACTACATTATGACAATAAGAATGGAGCATAAGTTGACCATCTAGTTCATAAACCGGATAATTTCTTGTACTCATACTAGCTCATTGTAATAATATTAGATGTCGGACCACTGTACAAGGTTACGAGACGATTTTCGATTCACTCATCTAACCCCCCACAAGTGTAAATCTCTGTCTCAACAAATTATTACGCACCATTTTGTAGAGGATCAGATTAAGTCGTGACTTATTATTACTCTCAAGTCTTTTTGTTCTTGAACGTTTGGGAGAAATGTGCAATCAATTATATTTTGGTAACTATTACCGTGCACGATGTGCATGAGCACATTCTTCTAAGAATTATCTTCTAAGCCCCAACCTCGAGTCCATCTGACAAATTCGTTTAAGCCAGTTTGGAGATGAAAACGATCAGTCTCACCTCTTATTGTTCGCCAGATTTTGATACCATCCGCAAACAATGATGTCGACGACGTAATTCGTTAACATAAGGAAGGAAAAGTAGAGGGCCTAAAATGTTACATTGGGGGACGCATCCTTCGACTGGATTCCATTAGGATAGCGTTCCACTGACCGTCACACACTCTATCTCTCTGCGGTCACATTAGAAGTTTCCTATCCATCCCTGTATGGCACCAGTTATTCCAAAACTTGGGTGCTTCTGCGTAAGACCTAAGTGTGAAATTTTGTCAAACACCTAGCTAAAATCTATGGATATCACATTGACAGACAGACAGAACGTTATCTAGATTTGCTGTCCAAACATCTCTCGCAATCGTTAGGTAGTTATGCGGGTGAGAGGGACATGTTGAGGAGCAACGAGAGCGGTCTTGAAATAATATTTGCAAGCGATGAGAGCAAACCCTAAACCCGTCTGGACCCGATATCTTACAAGGTTTTATGTTACTTATCAATGGAAGCGCAGTTTACACAGCACATGTACAGATCCTATGGCAGGTATCTCGGTGAAATTGAGACAAGTATTTGTACCGCTATACATAGAGTAGACTTTATTAAAATATAACATTATGCCCCCTTTGGTAACACAAAATAGCTCGTAAAAAATCTCAAACCTTAACTAAATAAATCGAGTCAAGGTAGACTAAGTGTGTTTTAATAAACTGAACACAAAAATCAAACCACATAAGTGCAATATCACTTTGAATAAAATAAATTCAATTAATGTGTAAACAGTAGTTTTGATGCATAATATACGATCCAAACTGTTGATTCAACTTAACTAGAAACAATATCACCGTCTTCTTAAATTGTACGTCTTGAAGCGTATGGTCTTGATGAGTCATTTAGGTGCCGCGGTTTCGTTTATTCTTGTAAATATCCAACAACAGTGACTAACTGAAAAAGTGTTAAGATGAGTCAATCATTTTTCAAGTCGTTGCCGCAAAATCCGAAACCACTGATAACCTTGAGGTTTGCAACAATATGAACATTGGTTTGATGTCTACTGTATTATGTGGGTTTCGGCGCGCGTGCTTAATTGCGAACTATTCAGCAATATCTAAGACTTTGGTAGCATCAAAGAAATGTTTAGGAATTCCATTTAAAGCATTTCCATTGTCAATGCCCTGTAGATTATTTGCGCATGGTATACCATTAACCAAAACAATGATCGAAGATCGAGTAATGCTCGTGTTAAGACTCTACGATAAAATCGACCCGTACAAAGTTGGTTTAGTTAGTGTGGCTCAACAAATTATAGATAGCATTAAATTCTAGATTCAATGAAGACTTTGGGATAGACAGTTTAGATCATGTAGAGCTTGTCATGGCAATAGAAGAAGAGTTCAGTAAGTTCTTTTGATTTAATAGTCTCCAGATATTGAAATCCCTGATATGGATTCTCAACGTTTCCTTTCTCCCCAAGATATCATCCAATATCTATGTGATCGGCACGATGTCTACGATTAGTGATTATAGTTCCAAACACTTGTTTGTTGTAATTAGTATCAATATTCAAAATAAACCTTGATGTACACATGTTTTTTCTCTCTGTTTATCGTTTGCTTCTGTTTTAATCCACAAACCCCTCGTTTAGGTGTTCTGATTGACTGGGATGTCGTCGCAATCTGAAGATGACTCACATGACGAGTTGCCATTCGATATCGATGAAGTGAGTCTTTTATTACTCAGCCCTTGTTTTCGTTATCTCAATCTTAGCTTTCCTACAACATCGGATTAATGTACTAATAAGTCCATTGTTTCATTCATTAGAAATAGTAAATCATCATGATAGAAGTAAAAACATCAATGTAGTGATAATAAGCATTTTTTTAATCACTATATATGTCTGATGAACAACTTTAGAGAGCCTAAAGAGGCCATGAGAATGTCCATTTACTTACAAGGGCTAAATAAGGGTCATAAACTAGTGTGAAGAATTAGGATTATGATTTACAGTTGATGGTTAGATTTAGCAATTAAATTCTGGGTTTTCACGAACTTATGTCAGCTAAAATACCAGAAAGCCATTTATCCGAATGAATAAATGAATCTCAAGTCAAAATCGAAGACTTGTTGTTCTAAATTTGATTGGATCGTCCTTGAATTATAGTCTCGCCCTTGTACTTACCGTTCAGTTTCCTACCACACACTAACCTAATTTAGACATTGAGATCGGGATTCTGACTGATAAAACACTTCGATATACTCATTAATGTGGAGCAAAACTAATGGTGTCCTCTGATGCATTAAGGTTGGAGTTCTCAAGGGTTATGGCCCGGAATTCGCAGTTTGATTAAGGTTCCCAGATAAGTGATTCAGACATACTTTCTCACAATCGAACCCGGTAACGATTAAATTCTTCAAGTTTTTTTTAATTTTTATTTAAACACATAAATATTGGTACAAGGAAGCACCAGATAAATATGCGCCTCACAAATCTCATTCGATTTGTGTGAGGGCTGCGATACTGCCCAGGTGCCCAAACTGAAGCAGGTGGTTTTCTTAGGGGGCCACACCCGGAGTCTTTGACCTGAATGTCTAGTCCACAAGGCAGTGGAGCATCGTGAGGAGATGCAGTCCCATGGTAGCCGGTGATCAACGGTTGATTCGTACGCCATTTGTTCCTTCAGGATACTGGAGCCCATGTGCACCATTGGTTTGGAATCAGGGTTTTCCAACTCCCCTAGGTGGACCCTCCATGTCCACCAACCCGGTTAAAGCGCCGGACATTCGCTTTTCGTACTCTCACTTTCGTACACAACACCCCCGCCACGAGAAGGCATCACATGGTGATCCGGCTCTGAAACAAAACTAGGTAAAACCTGTTGCTTTTCGGGTCATACTAAATAAAATAGTTGTTACAAGTCACTCATGCCTAGCGGATCTTTTACATGCTGTGGTAATTTTTTTGAATTATTAGTGAAATCAGAAAATACCGAACACCCAGTCCATTTAATAATCTTAACTGTTTAGTGAAAAGCAGGTTTCGTAGTTAAGTATCGTCGATGTAAAATACACGATTTGGTGGCATGAATGTAAACTAATCGTAATGGCTTATATATGTTCACTGTTTATATCTTTTGACGTCGTGAATATGATTTAATCATGCTCTTTTCTGCTCACACTTTTGTTTTGTTTTATCCCGCAAATCTCTCTACTACTATTAGTATCATGTTTGCGAGTCATAGTTTTCTTTTTGTATCGTCTCACTGTGAAATATAGTGACGTAAACTACTGTACAGTCGTAACCGAATTTGACCGGTTTTCTGTGTTTTGAGGTACATGATTCATCAACTTAAGAGTAGTGTCTTTATAAGTTAAATCATCTACATTCATAGTATCGTTCATCCTCAATAAGTATGAGTCAGTGGCCTAGTGGTTAATGTACTCAAACCTTAGCCACTAAATCCCGTGTTCGGTCGCCGTCCCACTCATTTTAGTTTGGGGAGCCAGATAGTATGATTAGCTCTTAATATGGTTCTACATTATGAGGTAATTTAATAAATTAATCAACAAGTCATCTATTTCGAAGTTTAGTGATCTTAATGTAGCCGGTTATTATGACTACTAACATTATTTGTTCTTTAGCGTGTAAGAATCTAAACTAATGTACGTTTGTGAGATTTATAGTGACACCACTAGTTGGTGACTCACAATGCTACTGTATGACTGCTTTGAATGGGATAAAAATAAGCAAATGTCTACGACACTTCACTGATTTATTTACTGAAGAACTATCAATTCCGTAGATATATATTCCTTGCTTTGGCGATCCGTCTTATGAATCACTATAGGGTTGAATTTTGTGATCTGTGAAGGAAAAACTTCCACAAAATATGAACTTCAGATTTATGCCTAAACATGTGTTTGCGTTAGATATTGGCGACAGTTGATATTTAATACCCTTTTTGTATCAATGAATCTTGATGCTTTTTATCTAACGTCTTAAAAATTACCAGTTACGTAGTATTTGCCGTACTCATTGGACTTTAAGCATATTTTAATGCCTTTATGTGCAAGTTATCTTTTTTTGTACCCTGTTAAATCAGTTCACAATAAGGCCATCATTGCAAATTCTTACTGGTGTGTATACATTGCTGATCAATTTTTACAATCATTAACTATTAAGCTTGATTAATCAGCGTTTATAAAATCACCTTATAGTCTAACTTTTGTTCACTTTGTTCAATAAATTATCCACAAACTTATAATGAAGTTGAGCATTATATAACTACTAATCCAGACAATCCTAAACTAGAATCTTAGTGTACTTTCAGACGTCAGTGAACCACTTGATAAGATGAATGTGAACTCCATCGATCACTATTTACGTGGTTAGTTTTCATCCACCTATTCTGTTGTTCATTAACTTGTAACTGAATCACGATGCATTTATCCACTGAAACAATGGTGAGAACTCTGCAAATAATCCAAGTTTGTACTATGATCACATTCCTTAACCGATGTGATTTACCATAAATATACTTGCGCCTTGTGGAGAAGCATAAACCACCTACCAGCATTATTCATCAAACTTTGTCCTGTGTAATTCTTTCCAGTTGCTATTCAATCTCTTCATGTCTGCTTCCAATTCTCGTCGCAATCTGTTCTTCGGTATTCTTCTCTCCCGTTTCCCTTCAGCATTCCGAGTTAGCGCTTCCTTTGTGCCCCCAAATGCCCTGGTACGTCCGAGAGTGGGGAGAGTCACCTCTCCCTCTCGAAATACTCTCATATGGCCAGCGAATATATAGCCTCTGCCAGGGAAGTCCTACTCACTGCCTTCTCGTGGCGGGGTGTTGTGTACGAAAGTGTGAGGACGAAAAGCGAATGTCCGGCGCTTTAACCGGGTTGGTGGACATGGAGGGTCCACCTAGGGGAGTTGGAAAACCCTGATTCCAAACCAATGGTGCACATGGGCTCCAGTATCCTGAAGGAACAAATGGCGTACGAATCAACCGTTGATCACCGGCTACCATGGGACTGCATCTCCTCACGATGCTCCACTGCCTTGTGGACTAGACATTCAGGTCAAAGACTCCGGGTGTGGCCCCCTAAGAAAACCACCTGCTTCAGTTTGGGCACCTGGGCAGTATCGCAGCCCTCACACAAATCGAATGAGATTTGTGAGGCGCATATTTATCTGGTGCTTCCTTGTACCAATATTTATTTATTTATTTATTTAAACACATATATATTGGTACAAAAGGGCACCAGATACATATGCGCCACACAAAATAATGAAAGCAGCAAGAGAAGGGATGAAAAGATAAGGCGGACTGAAATGTACAACCAGAAGACTCTTTCAGTTAAGAAAGTTAGAACCACTCTTTATGTAGAAAGTAAGAGAAGGTTGCAGCAGGATCGCCACTGGCTTCTATTCTGAGCCATATCTGATAACGTCTCTAGCCATTGTGTTGCACTATCTCTCGGACCCCAACCAGGGAGTCGTGAAGGACCAACAGAAGCTAGCCCTTTGCAGCTTTCTTTCATGCCACGACACCATGTCATACACTAACCTCCTCTCCGCTTTTTCCAACCAGTCCCAGAGTCGGCAATTAATGCACGACGTGGAAGTCTCTGGGACGACATTCGTAAAACATGTCCAAGCCACCGAAGTCGATGTTTCAAGATTGTGACACCAATTGAATTATCATCCCTGCGTTCGAACACACGATGCCAAACCTCTGCATTACTAACATGGTGTTGCCACTGTATGTCAGCAATCCTTCGGAGACAACGATGATCGAACACAGAGAGATGTCTAACATCCTCAACTCGGAGAGGCCCAGGTTTCACAAGCATAGAGCAAAACTGCTCTCACCGTCGCGTTGTAGATCCGACCTTTTACAGCCAGACCAACATCACGAAGGCGCCAAAGATGGCCCAGATTGGCATAAGCCGCTCTGGCTTTCATTATACATGCATCAATCTCATCACTCACGCCACCACCAGCACTTATGTAGCTACCTAGATACACGAACTTCTCAACTACTTCAATCTGCTCACCGTCCAGGATGAGTACAGGATGAGAATCCTGCCAGTCTTGTAGGAGTGCTTTGCACTTGGAGGGTGCAAAGCACATGCCGTACCTGCGGACACTGATTGCCAACTGATTAAGTGCGGATTGCATGGCTTGAGCATTATCGCACAGTAAGACAATATCATCCGCATACTCGAGGTCGAGAAGTCGTTCTCCAGGCAACATATCCACACCGCCATTACTTACATCCACCAGAGCTGTTTCCAGGATGTCGTCGATGGCAAAGTTGAAGAGGAATGGTGAG